AAACGTTGGGCAATCAACGTAAGGCCAATGTTAATGTGCTGCTCGGGTACGCGTTCATTCGTTCAGATGTTTTAATTAATTACTCGGTAACTATTGGGAATTTTACAAAATGGTATATAACTTTTCTTTTCAGTTTATCCCCCTCTATCTGAATATGAAGTCATGGACACCTTATCCCTAACACCCTGTATATGTATACAGGGTGTCAAATTCGTTTGTGACCATTCCAAAAATTATGGTAGATTGGATCAAACTGAGAAGAAAATAAATCATATACTATTTTGCAGAATTCGTAATAATTATCGTGTAATTATAATAACAAGAAAAACGTCTAAGCGAATAAGCCCACGGAGGAGCGGAAGGCCGGACTTGGCAGACATGCAAAATGGTGTATTTGTTGACATGTCTCAGAATCCGATAGCGAGAGCTATCTGCGCACCGCTCGCCACTCCTCGCTCCCCGCTCCCACCGTCTCTCATCAATCGATGCGTGACTCCACCTCTCGCTATCGGATCCTAAGCATGTCAACAAATACACCATTTTGCATGTCTGCCGAGTCCGACCTTCCGCTCCTCCGTGTGCTTATTCACTCAGACGTTTCTCTTAATTACACGATAATTATTACGAATTTTGCAAAATGGTATACATATAACTTTTCTTCTCAGTTTGATCCAATCTACCATAATTTTTGGAATGGTTACAAACGAATTTGACACCCTGTATATTGTGACGGAATTGATGTAGAAGTGAAACGTGAGAAGTTGAGAACGGGAAATATGCGGATACAACCACTACATTGGCAATCAGAAGGAAAGTTTTATTTGCTACTCATTTGTATTTCACAGTATCATGAATAAGAAGAAGTTACAAGAGGTTTCAAGAAGCCCAAAGAAGTTCAATATTACAATCACAAAGAACTATGGTTCGGTCGATATTGTGTAAGTCATGGAGAGAGACAGAGATGGAGAGAGATTACGTAAATCACTGCGACTAGAACAAATGTTTCTTCGTGTTGACTTAAAAAAAAGTGATTAGAATGTCGAAATAAAACCGCAGCTTCTGCTATCGCGCTTGTACTTATACATATCTTCTTTTCTCTACTTGAATTATAGACAATTCATAATTAAAATATCACAATTTTACTTCCGTTTATTCGTCTAACGTGAACACTTTGGCACTTCCGTTCTTTATTACTTTCCAACTTGGATACAACCTTACAAGTGCAGCCGAATTTTATCCCTTCTTTTTTTTACATATATCTTTTTACATATATACTACATGATGTAGTAAAGAGCATAAGTTGCTTCTTTGATTCTTATTCATTTTCCGATGAATGCGAAGATAATTTGTTTCCCTACCACAAATTTGATAAAAAGCCGATTGCTTGTCCATAAGTCTTTCCAACTTTCGATTAAAATCGATCCTTTTAATAAAAGTTTTAAAATTTTGCCCAAAATTGAATGAAAAAAGAAATTTTATCTCCGCGCTTGCTTACCAGAAAATATTTATGTTGTAACAAATAATACAATTTAAATAAATAACTATAAATAAGAAAACGGTTTGACAAAGATATTGTTGTGCTGCATAAATGCGTACACATGTCTACAAATTAACAAATTAAAACTGGTAAAATTATAAAATTATAGTGGAACAAAATATTCGGATATTTATATTGTACATACAATTAAAAGTAGTCAGCGACAATAGTAACGTTCTCCAATTATCCCCGGGAGTATCGGGTCAACTCATACTCATAAAAATTTACCCACGATTGCTGCGGATTCTTAATACTCAATGCCATAGGCAACTTATACATATACATCAACAAATATATTACTGTATAATTTATATACTGACAAAAATCTCGCGTTTTCTTTCTTCAGACGTTTCATGAAAAAAGGACTTTCATGAATTGTTACATTTTACATGAATCTTTACGGCTATCCTAATATCATGTACATATACAGATATGAGTACTCTACTTTTTACAGTACAGATTTATCATTAAAATTTGTATAATTCATTTGCATAAAACGGAATATTTTTTGTTCGGCAAGTAAAACAAAGTCGGAAAGATACTGTCATGGTAACATGATGCGACGTGACGATGATAATAATGATAACAATGATAATGCCAATAACGATTGGCAATAACTGATGTAGACGCTCGCGATGTTTTACTACCCCGATAGGAAAATATCTCAAATATTGTGTAATAATTGCATCATCCAAAAGCAGGAAATTTCCGAATAATTGCATTAAGGTAATTTGCTAAAACGAGGCGGTTTTGTAAGAGTAAAATTTCCAAATGGTATTTGCTCAAAAACTGGGAATCTTAATTTAGGAGATAAATCATGCACAATTATTTCGACGTTTAGAAGTAAAATAGCCCAGCAACACAGTTACGTGTAATAAATAACATTTAAAAAAGATTTAACGTGGGACGTATTTACCGCTGGGCCTGTTTTTATCTCGTTTCGCGTAAATTTTACTTACAAGTATGAGATACCTCGTAGCGGCAGCTTGTCATGTCATAACACAACAGCAATTTAATTGTGCAAATATTCTGCCAAGGTGATTCGCTAAAACGCAGCTGTTTTGCTGACATACTCTTTAGAAATACATTGTGCAAATATTTATCAATATTTGATGGAAGGTCTCCAATTCTGCATATATTGTTCAAAATATGTACGCATAATTCCAGCATTCCAAGTTTCATCCAAATTTCGTCATAAGATCTGCTCAATATTTTCCTATCGAGGTATATTTTCCACTGATTCGTCTTAGTGCATTTCAGGCTCACGAGGATTTATACTCGCAGTAAAATTTTACGCACCTCTGCTATCTAATGATAATGACGACGACAATATTAACAATTATGATGATAATTACGATGAACGCTATAGAGGATGTCCCAAAAACTGGCAGTTTCTTTAAGACGTTATGTGAAAGAAATAGAAAAGCTGAAAATTTTGGAAGACTCAAGCGGCTACCATGCTGCCGGACGAATGAAAAGGTTTACAAAATACAGAGCTGTCTATGCATCCCATTAAACATAACACATCTATCTTCATCTTGAATTTTAGCGTGACGCAAAAATTATCAATGCCCTTGATATTCAACCAACAGTTTCATCCGAAAGAAGTGCGATAATTCTGGGACATCCTATATAGGTAAAATTTTTTTTAAATGGTTATATAACATATACATACTATATGTGTTTGTGTGAATGTGTGAGAGTATTTGTGTGTGCGTGTATAATTTTGTTTGCGTACTTGAACATTTTTTTCTATTTTTTTTCATCCGAATACTTAATTTTCGTCAGAGGATCCGCTAGAACTTTCTGGCATGGTGTTGAACCAATTTTCACGAGCCCCGGTAATCCTGGATACAAAAACACTTTGAAAATTCATCTAGCAATTTTTTCACGTGTGATACTTAATAAATATCAAATAAGCAAAATAGCAAACATACGTTTTATTCTCGATAAAAATGCAAATGCAAGAGAAATCCTTTCGTAATTCTAAAAATAATTTTAGAAGTATGATATTGATAGAATATCTACCTTGTACGTTGGCGCGTACTCGTCGGCAGTGTAAGTGAAGTTCTATAATATTGTGGTGTGGCATTTGACGCTGCCTCATCCGGTCTTCTGTGCAACGTCATTGTTTCATGAAGAGATGTAACGAGCTCATCCTCGTTATCTAAGTAATAGCGAGAACCCGTCGCACTCTTGCAGTTCTCGCACTCACTACGGTAATCGTCCGCGTCGTCGTGTAAAGTGGGTAACGCTTGCATGCTGCAGGTACATGTTACCGATTCAAAACTGCCACTCGTATTGATCTCGTTAGCTACGCTCAGCGAAGGCTGCAGATGAAAAAAGATGGTAATTAATAATGTATGTCTCAACGTGATTTGTATTATAATATATTGTATGTGTTTATACCGTATAATCGCGAGTCCGCTCGGATACATTTGCTGTGTCTGCCATATACGTTTCTGATTGTGCCAGACCAGATGCCGACGCCACTGGGGTATCCGTGTAAAATGCGTCAGAGGCTTTGGTACTTTTGTAGCTGCCCGAGGTTGCGACTGCGGTTGCGGATAGTAGCTGAACGGGATGTGACAGACTCTGAGGAGCTGCGATGTTGCTCGGTGACAAGCGGAGGTAGTCTCTCGCTGAGCAATCCGTCAGGACATCCTTGGCTCTGCTGGCAGCACAGGTCAATGCTCGCGGAATCGTGCGATGAGATGACACGTCGGAATTTGATAGAGTCGCTGATATTGTGAATGCGCCGCCGCCGCCACCGCCACCGCTCTGACGCGGAAACATCGTCGTGTGTTGGCGATAGCTTTTAGGTATAGTGGAATGCGATATCGGTAGTAACGGCTGTGTACTGGTATTGGCTATTGCGGAGCGTTGATTGTCGTTGAAACTCGTCATGGCGACCGACGAGACTGGTAGATTCTCATACGTGTTTGTCCCCATTGTAAAACTTGTGGTGGAAGTACTCGTATTTAAACCAACAGTGGATGACGCACTGCTCTGGCTTATTGGTCGGTAACTGCCAGCGTATGCACTAGGACTGGACAACGGTCTGCTTGATGAAGACATCAAAGGCGTGTGTATGTTACTATCGTTAGACGACGCCTGCGTGTTCAAATCGTTTTGCGTGTCGGTGACAACTGCCATGCCCGCGTGACTGTTGCCATTCGGCATGTAATTGTCTGAAAAGTTCATCGATAGCAGCGTGTGCGGGTTCATCGATAGCAATGCCTGTTCCGCCCTCGCTGCTGCAATTGCTTCTTCGTACGGCGGTGGTGCTTCGCCACGCGGAAAGTAATTGCCAGGTGGTTTCCATAGGGAGTAACCTGTCCCGCAAGGTATATCGTCCATGGGAACTCCGTGGGGTAATCCGCCTCTGTCTAAATATCCCATGTTACTTAAGCTTCTTTGGTCCTCTCCAAGTTGCCTGTTTTCTCGACCTGCCACACAGACTAAGTGCACAACATACAATGTCGACCAAAAGTTTGGACACATCGAAGGTAAACGCAAAAGGTCAACATTAATTGACAAAATGAATTTTTTGATAAAAATGACATATCGAAACATATTTTGGTATTCATATCAATAAAAGACAAACATCGTATTCATGTAATATTCACATTTATACATACTGTTCATTCAGGACCAATTCTATCATTAAGTTCCAGTTAATTAACTTTTACTTTCTAGTCTACTTTAGTACTTTAGTTAAAACTTGTTTTTGTGTATGTAGTCTTCACGAGCTTTTCTGTAGATTCTATGTAGCCTCCATAGCTGTGCAAATTGTTAGCATTCTATCAAGAAGTTTCAAGAATGTTTCATGTGATGTAGCCACATGTATTTCCTTGAAAAAATGATTTTCATTTTTGGAATTAACTTCTCTCATGTGTCAGTTCAGTTTGTGCCATAATAATTTAGAGATCAAATTTATTTAGAGTGCAAAACAAAAATTTTATATCGAGTCGAATCGAATAGAACTTAATTTATCTTTTCAAATCTGAATCAAATCAAGTTGACAAAATTTCACTTCCAAATTGAAATAAATAGAATTAAATCGAATTAAATCACTGTGATTTTATAAAATTGACAATTTATATGATTCGTATTCGAATAATCTGGATTGAAAAATTTCATATAATTGTGAATCTTAAAAATCAAAATGATGAAATAGTTCAGATTCGCATTAAACCGAATCTCACCTAATTCGATTCGCTTCGTACTCGAATAGTTACATATCTTTATTTCTATTTATTTTTATTTCTTTATTTATTTCACGTCATTTATTTCCGCTTTCAATTTCGATATGGCCCTTTCACTGTACTTCTTGCTCAATATTCACGTTTATACTTTTTATTTAGGACCAATTTTGTAATTAAGTTCTAGTTAATATTATCAATTTTATTATTGTGACATCAAGAATCATTTGACGCCAGCAGATAAATAACCATGATTAAGCAGTTGACCGACCATGACTGGCGATGTGTTTTTAACACAGAAAATTTATTGCAAAAAATATTACCTCAGCCAGGGTTTGAACCTTTATTACAATATGCCTCGGTCGAATTGGTCGAGACGCCCACCTAGAGTGAAGGGAGGTCCAGATTCAAACTCTGGCTGGGGTAATATTTTTCGCAATAAATTTTCTGTGTTAAAAATACATCGCCAGTCATGGTCGATCAATGCTTAATCATAGTTCATTATTGTGGTTGATAAAGGCTCAGTGAAGTTCGAAATGTTCCGCAAACTTATTATAAACATCAATAAATCGAATTATATATTTTAAATTTATATTTCTGCGCGTTTATTGTTCCAAGAACTTTTCACTTCGTCAATTAATCTTAACTTTTGCACTTATTCTCGATACGTTCAAACTTTTAGCTGATACTATACATACATTTTTATATTGTCGAATTTGCGAAAGAGAGCACGCATTTAAATTATTTTAATTATACAGAGTGTAACCTAATTCACACCCACGATTTATACAATGGTACTTCTCATGAAAAATTGAGTCAAAAAGTCCTGAACCATTTTTTTAAATAATGCTTCATAAAATAGTTATTATTAAATAAAGATTAGTCAATCAGCTTCGCTTTTTAAACGGACATACGACAGACACCGATCTATGTGAACTTAGCACCCGACTTTAATTAAAAAATTTTCTTTATGTGCATTTGGAAGAGCATTGTTTGTACCCGTTTGTACTTCAAAGGGGTGAGTTACGAAAGGGTGAAAATATCATCCCCTTGGGGTGTGTTCAGATTCCTAACCCGATGACTGGAGGTGAGTTGCTCAGAGTTTTGATTCTAACCCGATCGATTTACTCTGCGTAAGGCTGTGGCTCTGAACGGTCTGAGTTATCTTTGGTGTTAAAACAGGAAGTAAACAAAGGAAGTACGCCATGAATGGCCGAAAAAATATTATTTTGATAGCTAATTATACGAGTAAACAACTGTTCAGATTTCTATTCTGTGAGACGCAGGAAAGTAGTAACGAAGAAGAAGAGTTAGCCGAGGCATTTTTATTGGAAGCCCATCTAAGGCTACGTGGTCCGTGGAGGAAAGCTGTGCGAATTGAAGGTTATGTGGAGAACACTGCAGTCCCAAGATTTAATACAAAATAATTCCGTGAACATTATCGAATGCTGCCTAGCACATTTGAACTGGTAGAAAATCGTCTTGGGCCTATTTTGGCGGGGAACACGGACGACTTCTCCATTCTCTTTTGTCACCAATTTGTGACGAGTCCACGGTCTTACA